CCAGCAAGGAGGAGAGTGTCTAGGCGACGGCAGACACTCGCATGAAAAGCATGAAAGTGCAAGCAATTATAATACGTATTACAGCCTACAAACAAAAATGACATTATGCAATACCTAAACATATATGAAAAATACTCTCTCTAATACCCAAAAGCTATGCGAAATCCCCACTTTGACTATGCTTGAACATTTTGATTTCATAGCAATATCATGAATCTGCATGAACACCTACTAAAATTATTTTCTACAAAAGACTTTCACTGCCTTTCCCCACAAAAAACAATAAAAAAAACATCATACAGTTGTTTTGCATTGAAAACCCCAAGAGAACTTTGCCATATTTCGAAATCATCATGCAATCATAAAAATAAATATATAAAATGGGACAAACATCACCGCAAAGACCCGTCCAAAAAGTGAATACGAAATATATCTCACATTTTTGTAACTTTCATTAATCGAGCAAAAACCAAGCCGTATATTTGGGTAATGCATAAAAGGTGATCTACGCTGATCCGTCAAAAACCAAAATAAAAAGTTGATAATAGATTTTGCACATGAATTACAAAACCAAAACAAATAAAAGATGATACTAACAATAATTTAAGAAACATTTTTGGCTAAAAGAAAACAGTAAAGAAAAAAGAAATGGCAAATGATGGTTAGAAAAACGAAGAAAACACTCACACGGGAAACATACTAAAATACCACAAACACAATGAAAACTGAAATGAAGGATGCGATGAGGGACAATGCTTTGGAAAGCTGTGAAACTAGTTTGAGACATACGTACATTTCTTATATAACTATAACTATATGTATGTCTGAAAAGTCGACAAATATGAAAGATAGATATTCAGATTTTGATTAAAAGTTTAGCGCTAATTGATTGAAAACAAATGCTTCCCAAAGGGCCATAGCTTTGAGAAATGCTGATTGATGATTGATGTATGGGAATTTTGTTAGATTTCGTTTCCTCATGTGTATCTGCCAGACATCACTTTCCTTCGCGAAACTGGAAATGCTTAAATGTTATACATCTAAAAGAAAAACCAAAACCAAAAGGAAACCAGAAAGGTATACCCTGTACGCTGAAGTTAAAATTTCATTACCCATAAGTTGTGTGATTAACTTCAGTATTGAGCTTAATTGTTGCTTGTCTATATATTTTTTAATACAAAAAATATAGTAATAAAAACCAAAATCACAAAAAAAAAAGAAGTAGGAGATGGTTGAGAAAGACAGTTCAATGGTATTTATTAAACAGTTGAATATTTGTATATGTTTTTCATGAATGGACCTGTTTGTTAGTTGAAAATGATGAGTTGATTACAGAAACCCTATGAATAGTTACAAGATATTACAATTGTCCCCACATCTCAGAGCAGAAATGTATTTGTTTATTAATTCTCATTCGATTTGAATAACTCCAAAATGCATTAGTTAGAGACAAAAGATTAAGAAAACTTATGACACTCTCTGGCAATCTTCGATAAATCCAAAAGAACCCAAACAAAAAGACAGGAACATGCACACACAAAAACTGAATTATACTTCCAGTTACAGTTGGATATAAAAAACAAGTAGAACACTTGACACTCATTTAGTTTTAAACTATCGTATTTAACAAATTTTAGGCAACTTTAATATGAATCTACTTAAGAACAAACTTGATATGCATTCTAGCTTGTTTACCAAGGAAATGAAATGAGAAATAATAAAAAACTAAAACTTCAACAAAGTATACCCACTACAAAATCGATACCAAAGGCGCACCACAAAAAAGGCTTCTTCAAAAACCAATATACATTTTTAGAACTACTTATATGAGGGTCACAAATAAGTCTATTTCCGTTTGAGACATTCCAAAATGAGAACTACATTTGACTTTCACGCCTCAATGCGCCTCAAATTTTAAATAAAAAACAAAACAAAAGACCCATTATATAAAATTAATAAAAAATGCAAAACCGATTGATGATTTTTTCTGAAATTGTCATAAAAGAAAGGCACACCAAATAGCCTTGATAGAAATGCTAAATAACACGATATAATATAATTATATATGTACTTGGACGAAGAAGTAACAGAATCATATAATAGAAAACATATATAATAAAAGAAAAGCAAAAACCAAACCAAAAGAAATGAAGTGATGGTAAAACTGATTATAAAAATTGTATGAATCAAATAAATGAAAAATCCATATAAACGTTTTACAAAATGCTTTTTTAAGTGGGGAAAAAATAATCTAACGGACGATTGATAGTTCCAGTTCCATCGCCTTTATCAGATAGGACGAGAGGCCTTTAGTAACAGTTGTAGAGAACTACATATATCAAGGAATTTGAATTTGTATTCATACTTATCCCCAAGGCTGCTCACACTCTAGAATAAAAAAACTAAATTTTTGTTGTGTTTTGTTTTTATTATTGCTGGTATTAAGTTTTCTTCAAGAAAATGTTCTCTATTATAATTGCTGTATTATTGTGGGTAGTAGTTATTCGTATTTATCTGCTATATGGCTTTGCTTTTAACTTTACAATATCATCGGTGTTTTTCTGGTTTTATCTGGGACTGTAAGTAATTTTGCAGACAGACAGCTTTATATATTAGCTGAAAGGTTTTTTTTGGGTTTTCGGGTTTTTTAAATTTGAATTTCCATTAATTATTTAGACACTTTGTTAGACACTTATTGCTGGTAAATGGTTTTCATAGGCATTACCTAATTTTACTGATTGTAGACGAACTATAAGACTTTGGGTTCAGTTATTATTGCACTTTATGAATTATTATAATTATATTAAGTTTTTTATGTTTTAATATTAAATTTTTTGGTTTGTTACAGGAATATAGAAAGCTGTTATCACAGTATTTTGAAAGTAAAATTAAGGAGAAATGATTAGAGTCTGATAATGGGTCTAACTTATAAGTTTTTGTATTCGGGAAATACTAATAGCCGATCAGATATATGTATATACTTTAGAATATATAAATTATAACTATTTTCAATTGTATTATGATTGCATTTAATTTTGTTTTTAAGTTTCTTAAAGTTTGCTCGAAAATACATGTGTCGAAAAAATGTTTTAAATGTGTTTTTCGTTAGTTTCTTACTCGTTTATTTTTAATTTTAGATTTAGTTTGTTTTCGTATTATATCAAGGGTTTGCTTTATTATAGTTCCTGATTTTAGCCTTAATTTAGGGTTTGAAATTGATTTATTATTTATTTAGATTAATTTTAAGCGTAAATAGTTTCACAAATATGTGTCCGAATATTTAAAAATCATTGCTAGTGGTGCATTTTGGGGACAGAAGAAATAGTACAAGGATTGTTTTTTGGGACTACAACAAATCAATCGAGTTGGTCTGGGCTCATTTATACTTATATATCAAAAAATATAATATTATAGACGTCGCTCAAGTGATTTGTTATATATACACTATCTTTGCGGAAGGATGTTGGGGCTGTGCCACTTCAAAAACTCGCTCAATGGGAGGCATTTGAGCAAGCATTTGAAGAGCACCAACAGGGGGGTCATGTAGATCTGTGGACTACCTAAAACCTACTCGTTATGCAGCTATATATGTATATGTAGTATATTTTGGGAAGAGAAATTGTTTAACGTAATGGTTCAAATCGAAAAGAGGCTGACTTATCAAAATATTTAGCACAATTTTGTTCTTAACAATTAAACGTTTCATTTTGTTTGATAAAAGTTGTGTTGGTTTCTTTAGTTTCACTTAAAATTAAACAATTAAAAGATATACCAAAAAGGTTTTTTCGAACACCCAATTCCGTGTTCCCAATGCTAGCTAAATTTCTATACCATATCATTGTATATAGTACCAAAAATGAATTTGTTCTTAAGGGGGGTTTTCCCTGGCATCCGGCACCAGGGAAGGTGACCCCGCCCAGGGGAGGGTTCTTACCTAAACTTATGCTTGAAAAAACGTTGCTGGACTTAACAACTAAATTCATTTAAATAAAAAAAGTTAGAGTTGCTTTCGGTTACCACAAAAAATGACACTTTTAACAGACTTTTCTTTGTTGCAGCTTCTACGAGAGTAATGCTTCTCGTATATGCCCATAAGGTTAGCATCAGTAGGGGGTAAACATTTAAATTTAGTTTCCAATAACTATATATAAGTACAAGTATATTTAATATAACGTTGAGATTGGTTTTTGGTTTTTGTTTTGTTTTGGGGGTTTCTTTAGAAATGCATATCATTGGATTTTGCATTTGTAAAATTTAAATTGCTTTTAAATTTAGAATCATATTTGTGTTTTAGGCATAAGGTTAGATGATTATCTGGGGATTTTTTTGATACGGTTTATTTGGGATTTTGTTCAAAAGGTAAGTGTTAGGATTAACTGCGGGTTCATCTATTTTGATTAGGCTTAGGTTTTTGGGGCTGAATTGCTAAACTCTTAAAAGCTAACTGTTTGGTTGTTGTTGAATACTTGCATGTGCCACTACGTTTAAATTCGTTAAACTGTCAATTACTTTTGAGTAATCCTTGAATTTGACATAAGTACACATAAAACATCAAAATTACTTCAGTTTTTGTTTTCCTTCCGGGGGTATCTTACAATTCTAAGAGCAGAAATTTGTTTACAAAACTTCTCAGCTATGCCTACACATATATAAGAATATCGGTAAACTGTATCGTTTATGTTTACGTTTATCGTTTTTCTTATCGTTATCGTCGTGTTCTTTCGTTTATCGCTCTGGTTCCCGCATACCCATGACATTAGCTATGCTAGCCTAAAAATTAGTGATTGTTGTATGCATTGGTTGTCCCCTGTAAAAAAAATAGCAATCCCATCCACTCTCTCCCTGTACACTCTCTATACACTCTCTTCTACATATATCCATATACATATCTCATATCTCTTCCAACTCTAAGAGCACGTTTCGAAGACTGATTTTCTTTGTACTAGCCGGTTGTAGACCTTCACTACTCGTATCCTTAATTCTCTTAACAACAGGAACCATTCGTTATACATAATGCAATTTTTAATTCTCACTGAGATCCTTGATGGCCTGGAGAATGCGCTTGACATGACCCACTTTGACCACCCCTAGATCCTTGAGATCACGACGACCCAGAGTGAGGAGCTCCTTGCCGCGAATATCGTTCTTCAGGAAGCTATCCACATACTCGGATAGTTGCATAGTCTCCAGCCAGGTGACCACCTCGTTGACACTCCAGTTGTTGGCTGCCTCGCGGGTGTTGTTGATGGGTACCTTGAACTGTTGCTGTCCAGCGGTGGATCCAGAGCGTAGGCGTACCCAGAAGGGTCTGGACTTGCGACGACCATCGGGCTGGATGACATAAAAAAGAAAGATTACAATTGTGGGTATAATCGACTGAATTTCTATCAAAATTCACCTCTTCGTTGGGCGCCAGAACATTAAAGTATGCCCGTAGTTTGCCATCAATGCATTTCTGCACAGAGCACTTCTTCAACTCCATCTCCATGTTGGCCAAAGCTGCACTCAGCTTCGTCTCCAGGTCTTCTCTGAGGATCAGGCTATGTCCACGATCCCGGAGCAAGGTACAAGCATCGTCGTACAGCTGACGCGAGGAATCAATCACCTCCACCAATTTAGTGCGAAGAGACGGACCTTCGAGGAGTTTCCCCTGAGGATGAATACTCTCCAAAGCCTCACTGGCACGACAGGCCACGCAGTAGAGGTCATGTTGGAGTGCGGGATGGGAGATGATCAAGAACTTGACCCACTTGACCAGAGAGCTAACAGCCTCGATGAAATTTAGGAGGACATAGCACTCCCGCTCGGAGATCACCTCATCCGTGGAGACTGCGTGCTCTGAAGCAGTGGAGGAGGCATCCCTCTGTATTGAAATGCTGTGCTGACGCTGCTTTTCCTGCCAGCTCTTGAGGGAGAGCTCCAGACTCCGATTGCGACAGAGCATTTGTACCCGATTCTTGTGCAGGATGCGGATCATGCCGGGTGGCTGTAGCCACGCCTCGCCGTCCACTTGAATGGGTATCTCCTCGTCGCCCAGTATGTTGATCTGTACACTTTGGCACTGGGCAATGCGATGGTGCTGCAGATTGATCAGCCGAGAGGCGGCCATTTGCACCGACCCAAAAACAGCGACAACCTCGAGCACACGATCATCAAAACTGGGGCTCAGGAAGATGTCGTCCTTCTTGGTGTTGCCCCAGAAATTGGTGCCGCCCATGAAGCTGGGAATGTTCAATATAACAATACCCTGCAGCTCTGGCAGGGGAATCCTTTGTCCATCGCACTCCAGCTGCACTCGTTGCTCGAGATTCTTGCAGGTCTTCTGGAGCAGCTGCTTGGAGCCAAGGACCCCGTACCACATGTAATTACGAGCACGGGAACGGCACTTCTCTGGATGCTCCTCGCGCTTGTTGTGGAAATCCAGTGAGATCTTGGCATCGATACCAATTCCAAAGTAGTTGTTCATTACGCACTTCTCATGGTAGCCGGCCAGGAGCGTCTCATCCGGATCCATCAATGGGCTGACTGCGGCACACAAAGTATCGGCATTGGCCAGGAGACATTTGGAGATGAAGCCACCCCCATTAGCGAGATCTAAAGAAGAGTAAACAAATTAAGAACCTATGCTTTCGGGACAGATAGGCAGGCTATCCTTACTTGGCCAATTGGGTAGTCGAACCAATGGATTGATGATGGGCAACTTTCGGGTTGTCTCCTCTGTGGGAGTCTTCTCTTTGTCCTTGCCTGCTTTGTCGTCCTTATCACCAGCTGCAAAGTGATCGAAGCCGAATAGCGTTGAGCCCATGAACAGGCTCGATTTGGAGCCCTTGAGGGTCTGTAGATTGGGAAGAGCTTCGTTCGGCTGCAAGAGAGAGGCATTGATTACATGGGGGACTCACTGCAGAGCGAAGTATCGAGTACGTGTCAAAGAGCAACTGGAAAGTCAGCACTAACTACGATACAAAGAAACATGTGGATGTGATCGAGTGTGTAAACTCTGAGTGGTGGTTGTGATTGTGATTGGTGGGTGAGTGTGCCAGTGTTGTGTGACTTGCAATTACTGTTCGCAGGGTTGTTGGTAAGTACTTTTTGAGAGAGAGAGAGGAGAGCGACAGAGAGTGAGTAACAGAGACAGAGGACAGAGCGTTTAACAGGACATAGCGCACTACTTGAAAGAAAGAAATAAATCATAAAGTCAAACAAAATCATAGCTGTAGGTTGGATAGATAGCGGGTAAGCAGAAGCTACATGTTTTGTCGATTTGTTTGTTTCTTAGTTTGAGTGTTGGTTAACAGAGTTTTTTTTACTTATTGGTTACTTTGCAACACTACTCAAAAGCGAAACTGACGCAGGTGCTGAGGAAACTGGAACGGAACTGGAACTGGAACAGACGCTTTGTACAGAGGATTTTCACATGTTTCGATTACCCTTTACAAAAAATACAATCACAGAAAGTTAGTTAAGCTTTGATACACGGACAATTTGTACATTTTAAAGCATTTTTGTAAAGGGTTTCAACAACTCGGTCAAACCGAAGTTTTTTGTCATTCAATTGGTTTTATAGATCGGTATGTTTGCGGCAATTGCTGGGGGATTTAAACATCGAACGAACGAAGGAACGCAGAAACGATTGGGGATCAAATTTTGAAGATCCCTTTCCCCGGATGTGGGACCGGCTTACCAGAGGTATGAGCGGCCTGATAAGCGCCAGAGTGGCCAGGCGAATATCTGGTTCGGCGACCACAAAGAACCGAACTCTGAATAATCCATAGCCCCGTTTCGTGGCAACCTTTTGGTTTTTCTTCTAAGAAAATGCATTTAGTATGATGTAGCTTTTAAAATTGTTCGTGTTTATGCATATAGTACATTATGTGGACTGTGTGTGTGGTTCGAAGGTTAAGTATATTCAAATCATAAGTTTATATAGTTTTGACATAATTTTGAAATACGTACCAATTGTTTTTTTGTGCTTTTTTGTATAACATATACATGGATGTTTTTTTCGGTTCTGATTTGGTTGTGGTTCATAATTTTACGAGGAACTTAAACGTGGTAACGGTGGCTAAATCAGAAGTAATGTGGCAAATCATACTAAAAGGTGTTTAAATATTCATTTTGTGCGATTAAAATGGAAACGAAATCAGTTATTTCGTCTGAGTTATGACCATGGAATATAGCATGAGTTTTTCTAACGAGTAGATCTTCTTGGCATCTCCTTTTTATAGTTCTTTTTAACTACGCATATGAATGCGTAAAGTCTTCATAAAATCTTCCTTTCAGTCGCACAAAATTGGTAAAAAAAAACATCAAAACCAAAACAAAACTCGTGTGAAATCCAAACTAAAAACCTGTTGTGATGATGGATCATTGAATTTGAGGTCCAGCAGATATAATCACAGAAATCTCTCTTGTGGCTGGTGGGGTGGTGGCGTTTACTTATAAGTACAATTACCTACAGTCGCTGTTGTTGTTGTTGTTTTAGTGTGTGGCTGTATGAGAACTGCACTCTGCACTTGACACCAATTGCTCTCGCCTGACACAACCATCGATTCACATACTTCAAAACTTGTTTTGCTTTGCCGCGCTTTGCCGACGATGCAGTGCCAATGTAAGTCAAATATGTGGGGTATTTTGCGGGGGTCGAGGTCGAGGATGGGGACAATGGGCGGGAGACTTACCTTGAAGAGGCTGCCACAGCTTATCCTGCGACTGGCCGCTGGAGAGCTGCTGAGGAAGCGCGCATGCTCCGGATCCAATGTCAATTGATTGGGATTAAATCCGGAGTGACGGCGATCTTTGTCCTTGTCGAATTCACGGACAGCCAGGCTGCTGGGCGCATGACTTGAATGCCGACGGATCTCCGAGGCATTCATGGCGCGAACGCCTAGCAGGCCAGTGCAGGCCATGGCCATGCCACCGCCACTGCCACCGGTAGAGGTGGCAGACAGCGCGGCAACGGCAACGGGCTTGATGCAGTCGCCGCGCAACGGTGTCGGCGGTCTGACAACAACACTTATCTGTGGATAGTTGGGATTTACATCATCAAAGGATTCTTTCTTACACGACTCATCAAAAGTAATGCGCTTTACATCTTGTCCATGGCCCGATTTCTTCGTGGGCGATGTCGATTTCATGTTGCTGGTCAAATTGCGCACAGCTGTCGAGTCAACATCGTGTATTTCTATTTTAATCGCCGTTTGTGTGGACAATTCATCCTCGCTCGAAGGCATTGCCACACGGGGCACATTCGTTGGCGTTTGCACGCTTGCAATATCGTCGGTGTCTTCTTTATCGTTGGCTGGATCGTTGCCTTCGTTGCTCCGTTGCATTAGCATTAGCTGCTGTTGATTGGAGGATTGTTCATTGGTTGTAGTTGGTTTCGGTTTTTTCAGTGAAGTGCGCTTTTTGGGACGCTTTTGTTCATTGAGAGAGTAGTAGAGTAGTCGATCGAGGATAGTAGCACAGGAGGCACAGGATTTATATGTTGGTGGTGGTGGTTTTGCAGGATTGTTTAGAGTTTGATTTGAGGCAAGTTTCGTTTCGAATACACACGCACAAAAAGAAAAAGTTTTGAAGAAAAAAGAAGCAAACGGAGAGCAACAAAGATTTTACCATAAGTGGCCATGTCTGAGTACTTCCGATAACACCATATAATAGCTCTATATATATACTCCTTATACTACATACAAATGCACGCTAAATTTTCAAAACCCCACCTAAGATCTAAGACATACCTTGAAGCTCTGACGCGCTATATCGTTACCTTCCACGAACTGCGCCAAACTGCAGTAGCGCGGCGGTTCCTTCATTTTCTGATCATCGCATCGATTGTCTATCTCAAACACAATGTTCTCGAAACCGAACTGTTGTGGATTATCATCGCTATCCATCCGGGCGAGCCTTGCCATCCTGGGCGGCGAGGAGTTGCGCCTCCTGGGATGCGCTTGAGTGTGGGTCAAAGCACTCAGCGACTTCTTGCGTGGCGGCTTCGGGGGACCCACATGCTCCGAGCAGAGGGTGGTGGTGTCATCGGTTATGGTGTCCTGCAGGGCATAGGTTATATCGTGGCCCAGCACGGAGCTGATGTCATCCATAATACTCTCGCCAGGCATGGCCTCTGTCTCATCGCTGGTCTCGGGCGAATCGATGTGCGTAAAGTTGCTGGCATCGAGATTCTGTTAGGGGAATCCCAATGGAAGTTGGAAACATGTCTCCTCCATGAATCCATTTATCTTTACCTGTATAATGTCGCCCAAAGTCTGGCCAGCATCTTGCTTGTCAAATATCTCCGAGGCTACGCTGCATTCCTCATTGCTAATGGCCGAAAGCACGTCGCTGGCCTCGCCCGCCATCTCATCAGAAGAGGATTGATCCTAGAAACAGTTAAGGATAATCAAGAATGAATATCAATTGAATGATGCGAGATGGCAATCCTCTGGAAGATGGCAAACGTACAGTGGTGGTTTGTGCGGTATCGGTGTCAATGATTGTTAAACTTGCGCTTGAGTATACATTTTGGGAGTTGGGGGTTACGACAATGCCGGGTACCTGCAGATTACAAGTGTGTACCAATGTCTGCTTTTCGGTGAGCATGTTATCCTCCTTTTCCACATCTAAAATACTGCTCTCCTGACTCAAGAGCCTCTCCTTTTCCTTATCTTTGGCGTTGTCCATCTCCCGGGTCATGTAATAGGTGCGTTCAAATACCTCCACGGGTCGATAGTTGGACAAGGGATCCACCAGAGGCTCGCCTGTCAATATGGGGACTCTCAAAAAGTCCACTTTGCGATCGGTGGGCGTGTTGTCGCCTCCATCGCTGCAGGGCGATAGACGATTGCCAGCATCGTCAATGTTGGCCCCGCCACTGAGCGACATGCGGCCCATGCGATAGACTGTCTCTCCATTGGCCCCCTCCTCTATCTCTTGGATAACATCGACCCCTGAACTCCTTCGACTGTCCGCGAATTGCCGTGGAGCTGGCAGATTGATGCTGTTGAAGAAGCTCTCATCCACCGAATCACGGCGGGTGTCCGGCAGCGGAGAGATGCAGGTCAGGCGAGAGGTCTCCATCGTGGGGGATATAATATTGATGGGTGGTATTATGGGCAATGGGGAGCCACACGGAGTGGAGTCGCCGGATGTATTTGTTGGCAATTTGAGGGACTCAAAGGGCGTGATCGAGAGCTTTCGCTGATAGCGTTTGGGTCGGCCTGGCTCTGAATGCTCCACCACATTGTAGATGGCTCGCTTCACGCTATTTGCTCGGCATTGGAGCGCCTCCTTTTCGCTGGATCGCAATGAGCGACTGTTTCGACGTTCCTTGGAGTTGATTTGATCTTTTTCGGTCTTTTCGATTGATATGTTTGGGTTGCTTGAGAGGTTAAATTCGAGAAGTTAGAGAAGCAAGTTAGAAGAAACCGTTTAAAATGGACTTACAGTAAGGATGGATTGGCTCCCGGAGTAGACGGAATACTTCGCGCTATAAGACTCCTGATGGTGGCTATCAAATCATCACCATTGTGGGCACCCATCTCCTCCTCCTGCAGAGCATCCAGTAGCATATTCAACTTTTGCTTCAGGATATCGCACTTGACGCTCAGCTGTTCGTCCTCCTTGTGATGCTCTGAGATGCGACCCACCAGATCGTCGACGGTGTCGCAAAGGTTCCGGGTCGAAGTGATCAGCGTCTGGGTATCATTCGTCTCCACAATGAAGCGCAGATGGTGGTTCGCAGAGGTCACCATCCCGGTGAGCATGGCCTCCTGTTCCGTGGTGATCGACATCTTGGGTATCTTTGGGACTGCAATGGCCTTTTCAAACACCATGATGCTCCAGCGATCCAGCATTTTGGTGCTGGCAGATTCATATCGTTCCAGAATCTGCGGCAAGTGGGTGTCATCATCGCAGCTGGAGCCCCAGCCCAAAACTCTGGCCAGATCGTTGCCAGTTCCCAAGGGCATTACAGCCACCTGGCATTGTTTCTACAGAGAACAGTTTAAGGATACATTTATGGTGAGGATAGGAATTCGTTTCGTCTAAAGACTCACATGCATGTTAAAACGATCGATTTCGCTGAGGACCCATCCCACGGAACCATCGCCCGAGCAGACCAGAATGCGAAACATCTCAAAGTGTCGAAAGAGTCGCAATCCGAGACTCGGGCCCGTTGAGATCAGATCAAAGACCTGGGCTGGATTCAGGAGCTGCTTGAAGCGTCGCAGGAACTTCACGCCCTGATTATCGCCGGACTTGGAGTTGACAAAGACTAGGAGGGGCGAGAAGTTGCCCCTGGGGCTGGCCACATCCCAGGCATCATCGGTGCTGATCGAATGCACACTAGTCGGCGGGACCACGGATAGCTTGGCCGGTCCAATGGGACAGGCCACCGCCATCTGTGGTCGACAGGCCACATGGCATGTGGCCCGGCACCAGAGGCACCTCCAATCCTGCAGTCGCAACACAGAACCGCATGTCTTCTTGCATACGGCACACACTGCGGACACTGGCAGATTCCCCTCCATCCACTGATGCGGCATAATAATGCCATCCGCCTGCTCAATGATGTCCTTTCCCACACTCGCCAGCGTTGTCCACTTGCAATTCGCAATGGATTTAGCCGCACACCGCTTGTGCACCTTGCACTTGCACACCTCACAGCTGAGGCCGTGGGATGTGACTCCGGAGAGCGCATCCCTGCAGACATTGCAGTAGGTGGGTCGCGCATGCGAGGTGGCATACCAGTGATGGTGATTCGACAGAATGTCATGCTGTTCGATGAGAAAGCTGTCGCCACGCGGACGCTGCGGGGCCGTGGCCGTCTTCAGGGAGCCCAGCCAGTCCTCCATTTCGCGTCTGGATTCGGCGCAAAGCACCAGAGAGCGAGTGGGTGTGATTATCTGCAAGAGAACATGGTATTAGAGAATATGACAGGAAACGACAGTAGAAAAGAATCTTAGGATCAGATTAGACCTGGGATTAGTTACGACTAGAGACGGTTCAGAGGAACCAAGAGGAAGATTTCAACTTAAGATGGGATTAAGATGTAAAGCAAAAGGCGGTAGTAAGGAATGCTTCAAGAGATGAAACATGAGAGAGGAATAAAGACAGTAGTGGATGTCCTTTGAAATTTCCCCTTAAAGAGAGTAAGATGAAACCCAAAAATGTGTCGTGAGGACTCCTTGGGTTAGTCCTCTCTTTATGGCAGTAACCTCAAATATGTAACAACACTAATTTGGACTTAGCCCACAGCTGAAACTGAGTTTCATACCGTTCTCGTACTCGTAATGTACGTAAACCATACCTCACATACTTTGGAGGGGGACAGCTTATTAGTTGTGTAATCAAATGAGGGTTTATTAGTGTAGACGGAGGCATCATTAATATGCTAATGCTGTATTCCTGCTAAAGGATAATGCGCAGACAGCGGAGTGCCAGAGACATACATAAGCGAATTCCAGTGCCAAGCCCCTAAGTAGGACAAGCCGCTGTATAAGCCCGTTGAAGTGTCCATAACATAACCATAGCCCCACCCGCCCCAAACACAAAACACAAGAGTAGCAAGCATAATTAATATATCCAACCTTCGACCTTCAGAGGGGGAGGGTAACCGCCGTGGGTTACCTTAGCGGATTATGATGGGGTTGTTCTCTGCCCTGAATTTATGACGCACATGTCCTTCGGATGGTCATATCCTTGCATACCATCCACAACAGCGATATTTTCATTATTTTTCTGCGTTTTTCCCCCTGGTTTTTGTTGTTGCATATTTATAGCATTTGCGGTCAAGTTTGTTGGATAATAAGGTATTTTATTGACTTAATGGACTGCCGGTCTCCTGTCTAGACACGGTTAACTTATGACTGTGTTTTTCAACACCCATTATTTTCAGTTTTAATTAGATTTCGTAATTAAGTTTTCTCTTCTGTTGTTTTTTTGAAACAGGGAAAAAGGTATTAAACATTTACAGGATGTGCTCTTTGGAGCGACAAACCACACATTCCAAGGCACCACAGGCGCCATTCACAGTGCCAAATGCAGTTGACTTAACCAAGAGCTATGACAATGACCGGTTGACATGCCAATGTCAGGAGCTGTGACACGACAACCGACGACCTCACTGAGTTGAGAGTGGTTCCAAGTGGGAAACAGAGAGAGAGAGAGAGAGTAAGAGAGAGTGAGAGGGAAAGAGAGAGAGCGAGTGCAATTGGCCCACCTTCATGTCATAAACCGCACAATGTCGGTCTCTGTTGTGACAGCAAAGTGAGCTCTCCGGGCCAATCGACTTGGGGGCCAAAGTGGCGACAAGACTTGGCCACAAGCCAGAACCAGAACCAGAACCATCGAGCCGGATGTGGCTCTATATAGCTTTAAGGCTTTCATATTTGCATCAATAAATCATGCTTGTGCCCCCCGAAGGAAAGCCAGAATCAGAAGACGATGCCCCAACCTCCTCCGTCCTCAAGTCGGAACGTAACCGCAACGCTAATTACATTTTAAACGTATTAATTACAAACCGACTCTGCCTCTGAGTTGAGGCTTTTGGGGCCCCTGCATTCGCCATCCATAGATCCTGGAATTTGCAATCAAAAGTGGTCTGGCACGGTTGGATGGGTCCTGTTGCCACCGCCCGGGCGCGCCCGCCTGCTTGCATATTCAATGTTGCAATTAATGTGCAACCACAGCCACAACGCCACCACCCATCGAACCTCATGGCCTGGCTGTGGCCTTTTAACGACCTCTGTCTCTCCGCCGCCACTGCCTGTCTCCCATGTCTGTCGTTTTTCCTGTTTTTTCAATTAGTCTAATGTGCAATGGTTAAGTGATTCCCAATGCACGTGCCTTGGGTCTGGGATGTTGCCTGGGCCTGGGCCTGAGCCTGAGCCTGGCCCCGGGCACGGTGCACCGTCCTCTCACTCTCACTCTCTGACTTTGACATTTGCAACATGGATTTGCTTTTAAGCGTAAATCCGGCGCGTGCGGTTCGTTTGTCAGTCAGCCGCCAATTACCCAAGCCCGCACGTATCCTCTCTTTTTGCCACAGGAAAACTGGAAAATTTATTCGTACTGCAGCTGCATTCCATTTCCGATTTATTTTGGGGCCATTTGAGGTTTATTCTTGTTGAAATGTGGGTACAATTTATTGGCTTAAGGAGTGGATTTTCTGCCATTTAATGGATGCCGTGGCTGTAATTCAATTTAAATTAAAGAACAACATGAAATGGTGTCTCTTTGGGAATCTCTTATTCAAAGGATAAAGTCCCTTCTCGCTAGCTACCATTTTAATCACATTTTCATATTTCATTGATGGTGCTCACACTTTTTACGCCGGTTCTGGCCCCTTGGGCCATCACCTATCGGCGTCGAAAACCAATCTGTGGGCTAATAAATTCTCGTTTGTGTATGCCCCACCGAGTTTTAGTTCTTTGTGTTGACCCGATCACAACGGTGTCTGATTGCAATTTTGCGCTTTTTCTAACATGTGTGTGGTGCTGCTACAATGGCATCGTCATCGCCGCGGGTCTCCATTTGCAAAGCGACAAAAAAAAAGAAGAGTGGGAGAGAGTGCCCGTAAAAACAGGGCACGGAACACAATAAAAGCTGGCAGCGACAGCTGCTGCTAACTGCTATGCGAATGGGGCGACATACAATGCAGGTCTCTAGATTCCACTTCTGGCTAACATTTTACGAGGAAAAATATACGTATTCCAATATTCCAATCAATAAAATAATTTATGACCGCCGGCATATGCAAACTGTGGTTCAGGCAAGCGCAATGAGTGCCATTCAAATGGAAAGGATCAAAACTTTTGAACGATTAATTGGGTGTTTAAACAGTAGAATTAATTCATTTAAAGTCGGCCTTCAATCAGTTGTTCCCGTGATGCCAGCTTGGAGGTTTCCAATTGTCAATATCAGCCATTAAGGTCTTTTTGGTGGATAGCTGTGTTGTGGGCGTGTCACCCAAAATAATCGCATTAAATTTTCGGTTTCGGTTGGTATGTGTTATCGTAAATCGCTCAAAGCTATAGACACAAGCCGGAGCCTCATCTCGAAGGCACAGCAGGTCGCGCTCTCCAATCACATAAACAAACACAAAGCAAACCGCTAAGATACATGCACAGTGGTCTGGATTATCATGTAACATAATGCTTTGAGCCTTTTCTGATACTCAAATGAAAGGTGAAGCTGAAGCCTCTTCTACAAGAAGTGAAGGAGTTCCTCCTGAAATTTTTGAGGTGAAATGAAAAAAACTCATTCTTGGAAGTTCTTCCACTTTGGGTAAATATTTCTTAAGTGAACTTGAACATTTCTTTAAAGAACTTAAGTGTAAATAAGCTGTCGCACACCGTGCAATCTAAGCACCTGAATATTTACAAACTTTTTTCAAGGTGGAAACCTACAATTTTAAATTACTTTACTTACTTTTAAGGGAAAACTGTGCACCACTGTGCCACTTCAAACCCAAGGCGACATATGCCAGAATTCATTAGGGCCAAACACCGATGTGGCGCCCACCCAAATATTCATGACAAGGAGCAACAGAACAGGCAGAAGCCCAAGAAGAAGCAACAGCAGCCAAATTACGCATACGCCGCATTGTCCCCCAGCGAGCACATCAAAACCGCCAAAAACACGTCTCCTGTTTGTACATACTTATATACTAGTATATGCATATCTGTATATATAAAGCTACGTATATATTTATGTACATTCCATGGCTTATTTCTTAGTAAACCCCCCGAGAGACAGATACACGTTCCCATACTTATTTTTTCATTATCACCGCAGAGTCGAAATAACTTTTGAAATTTTAATAGCCGCCTTGGTGGAAAAGGGCCTTCGGCTGTTTGACCAAAGTTTTCGTATATGTACTATTGAAATTTTCTTGAAACTTTTGCCAAAGTTCTTTAAAAATTCTATGTTGGTTGAATTTTCTCAATGGAAAATGTGGTGCTTTTTGTATGAGAAATGGTTGTCGTTAAGGACAATAAGAAGAGTTTCAGGTGGAAAAATACCTGGAAAGCTATTGAATCATTCACTTGTCTTTGAATTTGTATTTTTTTTTATTCGGAGAAATAGTTGTTAGCTTTTCAAAACTGTAGCATTCAATTTTCCCAAAACTTTCAATGTTTTATACAGGCAAATAGTTGGAGTTACTCTTTAGACTCTTTGTAGTATTAGCTTTATATGCAATTGGGAATCTTTCATGTTGAAAATGTACCTAATTAGAGTTTGAATTGTATGTCACAGGCTGACTACATACATAGCTCTAACTTTTCGTACTCTATGAATAGGAGAAACACTTCCCTAATTGCTATTCAAATTGACTTTACTTCTTCTCACAGTCATCTCTCATTTGCAAGTCTAAAGATTTTTAATTGCTGAAATGAAAAGCACTCGAAGGCAATTTCTATTTATGTTTTATGAGCGAGAGCTCATACAAAACGTTTTGTCGGATTTTAAGATTTCCTATCCTCTATTCAGAGGCTTCCAGGAATTGGCCAACGAGGGCCAGGAACAGGAACACATAAGCTCGACTAAAGTTAAGTACTTTGTCAAAGACTATCAACACATTTCCCTTGGCTTCGTTGTTTGGCAACTTTTTTCCACCCAGAGTTTTTTATTTTTACTTTTTGTCTGCCACGAAACATTTATATGGCTAAAATGTTATGAGTTGTTTTTTTCTCTCTGCTTTGAGGAAAATTTCAAAGTTCAAGGATATGTGGACAGCCTTCAGCAGACCTTAGGACTGAGGACTGGGTAGGAGACTGTTTTACAATTACCTGGCACACACACACAGGTTCTCGTGATTGTTTCTAAATTTTTATACATATTCCAACTGCTGGGAACAGAGCCTCCCCACGAGCCAACAAAAGGAAAAACTAATAATCCAATGCTTGGCTTTGTACGCTTTTCATTTGGGTTTCCTTTTGAACAGTTTTCTTGGAACAAGAATGTTAAAATGTTTATGACATACGAGTAGCTTTGAAATTCAAATTAAATTTGGAAATGCTTTCAACAGAACACATGACAAAACAATGGACAACACACATTCATTTATTAATTATGCTTGTTGCGCAGAAATTTCTCATCAATCTTTGGGAGCCAACCCATCCATAAAAGCCACATCACCACAGCAACAAGGGTACATTTGGCAAACCCTTAATTAAAACCAAAGGCCAACAAACACTAATTGACAAAGCAAATGTCATTTGAACTCAGCAAATTGGCTATATTCTTGGTAGAGCATTCAAAACTTTTCACACTCCCACCCCTGCAATCAGTGGAAGTCTAATCCAATATTGTTGACTCCAAAGTTGATGTTTGTCAAACAATAAACAAGGATGGAAATCCACCATTCAATTAGGGAAATATTTGTGATTGTGGCCATAACTTTTGCTGACTCTCTGGCCTTCTAGCTCTGGAAATCAACTCAGTTTTGTGGATACGTAGAGGAGAGAATGCTGCGTAATTTGCAAAACGAACGAGTAATGTTTTTTGGGGGGAAGCAGCTGCTCTGAAGACCGGCATTGCGTATACGCAGTGTGGTGCGCCAAAGATTAACAAGAGTCGGGTCCCACAGCCTCCTTGCATAATTGATGTCAAAGAGGCTGGCTGCTTCGATGTGTTCGTGGTGAAGGCAATCAATCAACTTGAGTGATATTACAAATTCCATGCAACAAGAACAAGAAAGGAGCAAGCACTTGAAAATTGTTCGTTAAGTGGAGTTCGCAAATTATTATTACCTCGCCAGAATGTTCTTTGTTACAGCTCACATTTTCCCTCCCTTCAACATGCAAATAGTTCACCAACCCATACAATAGACCTCTCTCTGAAGGTGCCAGCAATTTGAGTTAATTAGGAACCTAATTAGAGTACACCAGAAATGCACTTAGACATCAAGGTAAGCTGGTGCTCTGCCCCCAAGCCGTTTAGCTCATTAAAATCTACTTGTTAGCGACAAACAAATATAGTATTTTGCAAGCCAACAAGTCGGTCATTATAATGCGTATTTCCATTCAAGAGCCAGACAATGGCATAAGAAAAGAAAACATCTGAGCCTTTAACTTTTCTTACGAACAAGATTTTCTCTAAGATTGATGAATGAAAGGGCAATAAGTTCTACAAAATGAAAGAAGCTTTTGTATAATTAAATGGAAATGCAAATGTAAATGAAAAGTATATTTTGAGCCACTGTTTCATTTACTTTTAGATTTTACTTCAGCTTAAGGAACACTACAAAGGAATTCGAACAATGCGTATACCCTACGTTACTCGCAGTTTTACAGCCATGTAAGCCAATCCATCCAAGCCAATCTGTAAACAACATGTTTGCACCATTGCCATTGCCATTGCCATTGCCAAGTAAGTTCTATCGTGAAGCACATCGAGAATCGTCTTGAGGCTTAAACCGCATTGGGAAAGGGATTGTTAACAATGCGCTTACCGCTCGACAAACCTCTTATGGGTGTCGTGTCTCTATGTGGCTGCGTGCAAAAGTTTGTGGCACGTGGCAGCCAGCAGGTAAGTTGCCACTTACGTGCGGTCTTAAATGTCTGACACAAAGTTTAAACGGCTTTCGAACGCGAAAGGAGTGTCTAAAATGTCATCCATTTGCACTCCACCTGCACTGCATAGAATTACTATTTTAGTCGTTTTTCAGTGGAAATGGTGGTTTATCTATAAAATTTGTTTCGTTTGTATATATATTCTGAATGAATGTTTAGCTTATTGGTTTTTTTTCTGTTATTCTTCAGTGACACTGACGACTGCAACGAGGTATAGATTTTCATGTTTGCTGCGGTTTATTGCTGCTGACAGGCATTGCCATTGACAGGATACTCGTACAATACAGCCTTGTGGACGGTCCTTGTGTAAAAAAATTGAATGAAAATAAAAACCTCTTTTGCCAGACATTGTTGTGGTTTTTTTTCCCTACATAAAACTTTAAGCAGTCCCAAACTGATGGGGAGTTTAACTATAAAACTTTAAGCAGCGTGCAGACAGAAAGAGTTTTTCAGGCTTTAAGAGAATCCTTCAAAAAAGAGGGTCCTTCCCTTAAATAACACCTTAACCAATTCCCCAAAGGCTTCGCAGAGTTAGGAGAAGCAGATAAAAGACAATAAAAACCATGATGGGCGCCTGTAGCTAATAACATTTTCCCCGAATAATGGGAAAAATCAGAAAGAGCAACAGCAAACCTTTTGGCAATTTCCTGAGCTCGCGTATACGCTCGGCTCGGCAAATTTATTATTTATATTATAAAGAGATATAAGATATATATAAGGGTTTTTATTATTGGCCAGGTTCACGCAACGGAAACTCCCACTCGTCGGCTAAGCATTCCATTTCCCCAAGATCTCTCCTCTTACACGCATACACACACACAAAGCCCCTAATTTTTCGCATCAAATGTGGCGCATTCGTGTGAAAAGCAGAGAAAGGCACAAAATTTAAATAAATAAATATGGAATACGAGCAGCAGACTCTGTTCGTAGCAGGAGTTTTTCTACTTATGCTAATTCGGCATGAATTTTGCTTCGATTTCTTTTGTTTTCCGCCTTGGCTTTCGGGGTTTCCCCATTTTTGTGGCTGTATTGATATCGCTTATATAGAAGTAAAGAAAGAAACCTTAAGGTAGACCTGAAGGGTGATCTGGCTTTTCCTGAGTGAGGAATGATGACAAACAGGAAATGGTTATATGCTTATATGTATTCGAGTATCCGTCGGTTTTGACAGAAGCGTTTTTTTTTGTTTTGGCTTTAGTTACTTTTCCGGCCTTTCACACTTTCTAGAACAGAAGCAGACGAAGGTCGGCAGGAGAAGTAGAAGTGTAAGTAGAAGTTTGCCAAATTAATAGCTAATAACGTGAAGTGAAACAGGTGGGCCGAATAAATTGCCAAACTAATTAGGCCGAAGCTCCTAAAGCCAAATAAAATATTTACGCAAGGCCAAAAATGCTTGTGAAGGACCCAGGACCAACTTTTCGCATTACATTTTTATGGCTTTGTATTGTTTAATTAGGTCTAAGGAATATTTTATGAATAAGTCGGTGTCGTTACTTCTCACTTACCTGAAAACTATGATTTACGTTCTTGATTCCACACTCAAAATAACACAAATCCGAAAGGTCAATCTCATCGAAAACATCGCACTGTAAAATATATATGAAAAATATTTCGAGATTAGAAAATATATAAATACTCGTATTTAGGTAGCAGTCAAAGGCTGACCAACCCTTTTGCCACATAATAAAATATTGTTTTTAATTTTGTAGCAAAAAATTCGTTTGTGTTCTTTTTCTTTGTTTAGCTTTCTCTCTCTCTCTCTCTATGTCTCTGCTGTTGGCACAGAGCCAAGCCCTGAGAAGAGAAAAGTGTGTATGTATATATCTTCCGTGGTGTCTTCCGACTTAATGGAATGCTTAAAGCCGGCCGCCGGCTATTTTGATGCGGCTCAGAACTCAGACTCTCTGACGGCCTTGTTTTTTTTTTGTTACTCTGGACATGTATGCAGAGCATGGTGTTGGCATCATGCCTTGCAGGTCCTTTAGGAAATTGAAATGTTTCACGCACACACAGCACAGCGTTGGAGAGGCCGGCAGATAAATGGATATTTACGAGGCAACAAAAGCCAGCAACAATTGCTATTGTCGACGGACCCAAACACATAATAGAAATGTGACAATGGGAAGGCCAGAGTATAAGGCAATGCCAATACAAAAACTCACAGCCCAATAGGCAGAACCGAAAACAAAATCCACTACGAACCCAAAACCCAAAACCCAAAGACAGAGTGGACGGAGAGAGCCCGAGTCCAAGCCCGAGTCTAAGTCCAAGTCCCAATCCCAAGGTTTTCCGTATACTCAAGTAGTTTTTGAACATGCCGAAAATTGGTTTTCTTTTGACTCGAGTGATTCAAAAAGTTTGATTTTGTTTGCGGGCCCCAAGGTAACAGAAGACCCTTCACAGAAACACAGAAAATCATTTTCCCGGAGGTAAGCAAACAAGTTTTGTATTATTTTTATACATTTCTGTTTTTATTTTTTATTTGCCTCAACTCCCAGACCAATTAATTTTTGAGTATTGTTTGGGAAAACAGAGAACTTTTAGTGAGGTACGAAAAAATCAATTGAATATTGCGCATACGCCGTGTATGTCAACCTCCACTTTAATGGCATTTGTATGTCAATCTGCTGGATGTCTGGCAACCGTGTACAAGTATCTCTAAGAAGACAGGTATCTCTGTCTGTTCCGTTTTTCCGCATTTCTGTTTTTCATACATATCTGTGTGCTCAGCCTTGGCATAAATTATTCATGGGACGACAGCTCTCTGTGGCTATGTGTGGACTTCCTGGGTGTTTTGCTGTTTTTGCGGTATTCTGTCAGTGGTACATTGCGAGACTCTAGACTTATTATGACACTTAAGTACTTGAAATTCCATCTTCATTTTGAGGTATTTTAGGTTTTCAGGGCGCTGCTGTTTCTGCGTTTTCCCCATTGAATGGGGAGAAACCCTAATTCCTGCCACAAATCCGTAATAAGTTGCTTTGCCGTATAATTGATTGAAAACACAGCCATCACTCAAAACCCTTGGATATGTACGCACACATATACTGTTGGAGCTGTAGGGTGAGTGAGCATTACAATAATTAAACTTATACATAAGCAAACCAGCAAACCCAGCATGGACTTGCACACACATGTACGATGTACATGTAGGTACGTGCACAGGAAATGGGGGGAAATTACCAACCATATTCGCGTCTGAAGGATGTGCGCCTTCCCTCAGCGGTGGCTGTCAGGGCAGCAATCGTTAAAAATCAGCAAGGATTTCGAGTACTTTCAGAACTCAAATTGTTGGCCAGGGCACCATTTCGAACTTGAGCTTGTTGGCTGGTTTAATAAACTAAGAATTCTCGGATTTTTGTATAGAATTCTTCTTCAATAATGTACAGGGAGAGGTCTGTATCGTAAAAACACTGGAAGTTCAATAGATGATTAAATGTAGAATGGCTTCAAAATGGTAAGTGTATCTCAATCTTCGACCAATCTTTCGTTTTTTCCATATTCATCCTGCCACTCTCCAATATCTGTGTCTGCTCTCAACAGTCTCCACGTTTTCCTGTTTGCTCCGCGTTTTCCGCACTTGTTAAATTAAGTGAGTCCTAGACATTTTCCGTCTGAATGGATATCGCAAAATCTTTAGCCTGCCGCCGGCACAAGCGGCAGAAGTCCTTCCCCTTCAGGGATCTCATTAAAAGACCAATAAACGAAAAAAAATATTTGTTCTGTTCTCTTCTGTTCGACTGTGTGTATGTTTTTGTTTGTACATTTCTTCGTTTTCGAGTGTGGAAAATCAATAAAATAATTATAAAAGCAAACTGTAGGAATTCCGTAGCAATTTTTGAGTGGAAAAACACGACACACACATTGGGGAATTGAGGAAGACGGAGTCCCTTTTTTTCGTGTTTGTCTGCTTTCCTCTGGGGGTCAATCACAGACATCACATTAGGGCAAATTGCTAATTTTCTGTGTTATCGGCTTCTCGTCCCCTGGCATTAACCCAACTTTGATTGCATTATACAGAGATTTTTGTTGGAGAAAAACTGCCTCAAATAATCATTAATTTGCGCACTTTCCAGGGTTTTTTTTGGGTCTCTGCCACCTGGCGCACAAAATACTTTTCCTTTTCTTGCTTATTTACTCATTTCTTTTGCCTTTGCTTTTTCTTTGGTTTGTGTACAGCTTGCAGAAAAGTTTTTTGTTGTTGGAGGCCATTCATATCCATTTCTTGGCATTACTTTCGTCTTGTTTGGTGTGGGAGGAGAGGGGGTTCTCTTGGCCATTTTTTGCACGCCAAATCACTTAATGGGAAAAAAGATCTGGCAGTCATTAGAATTTAGTATATTCGAGTCTGAGAAACTGCTGACTCGTTAAAGCCCCACTAATTGAACACCATTTTCGGTAGAGATTTGTGCAGGTTACTCAAACTTCAAGTAGAACAAAATCAGAGAAAAACTTCAAGAAAGTTCTTTGAAATATACCAAGGCAATCTCATTTCCACATTGATATCAGATTGATGGGTAGACCACCCATCTCCATCTCCTCTCCATCTAACTTCTGTACTTCCTGCCCTTCGACAGAACTCTCTTGTCTCTTTCTCTCTCTCGATAAAGTTGTTCCTTTTGAACTGACACTTCGGGGAAAGTTTTGTTCGCAATTGCATTTCAACTATTTTCAGTCGGCTGAAAACAAGGCAAACATTAAAGACATTTGCGTTGTGACTTTTCCAAAGTCCTTTTTGCATTTTTCCACCCGAGAGAAAAGTTTTCTGTCAGACAAATGGAGGAAACTGTTTGCCTGGCGGATTCCCAAATGGGACAGGGCCATGAGCATCTCCTCCTCAGCCCCATCCCATTGGCATTGTAATGATGGCGGGGTATAATTTGTATTAAATAGCTTTTGGCTACCCTTCAGGGCACATTTTCTGTGGGTGGGGATTTTCTTCTTATGCTGGGCGGGGCGATGTCGTGTAGTAGGTGTCTGCGGGGGCGTGCCACGTTTCATTTGGCGTGTCGGAGTGGAGAAGCTTGAAAATTTTGACATTTTAATGGCATAACTTGGTGGCCGCACCCCCAAAAATACTTAAATACACCTCACCCATTCACTCCCGCTCACTCCCATCCACTCCCACAGATCCCTCCCCAGACCTCGATTCAAATTCTAGTTATTAATGTGCCATAACATCGGCAGCCCAGCCATCCCCCGCTGTGTTCTGCCTGCGGAGGCTCCGCTCCTCGTATTTAAATACTCGCAAAATGTTAATGTCGTTGCAAGTAGTCCCTGCCACATACCACCTTCCCCTTCTGGGGGCTACCCTTGATTTAAATTTACAATATTCTAAATAAAGCAGGGCCGCTGGTGCCATAAATTGCCATCTCAAGACCAAATTCTATTTTAATGGAGAATATGAGACATAAATCAGAGCCAGGGCCTAAGCCTTCGGGTAAACTGAATATTTGGGATTAGAAATTGTGGAATTTGTAATCAAAATATGGGCTTCCAGTGGCCATACATTATTGATTGTTCTACTGAGGATACAGTGAGGGAAAAATAGGCAAAAGAGAATAAAGTTTTCGATGGAAATGATAGTAGAAAATAAAATGTAGAAAAGATGGAAATAGTAAAATGATTGAAATGAATTTAAAACTATATAACTATATACTTTATTTGATTGGGAGTGATTTGGTCTGGATTGTAGAACATTTTCCTTCTAGTGTTTTCCAGTGTACAAGTATTCACGCCTCCCATATCATTCGCACAAGCAATTACATGTGACCCACTCATTGCGAAATGAACATTTTCCCCACTGCATGCGTTTTTTGTTTTTGTTTTAAACAAAGCCCCAAGCCCCAGCCAGCAATTAGAAGCATTTAGTCGTGCTTCTGGGTTCTGGCTGGGGTATGCGGGACAGAGGGACCTGTACAGGGCACAGTGCCAGCTGTGTAACCTACTTTGAGAGCCGAGCCTGAGAGCAATTTGTCACGGGGCTCACGGAACGAGACGGCGACGGCGGAACAACTGCTGTGACCTGATTCAGGACCGCAGTTGGCGGAACATAGGAGCACCTCCACCTCCTCCGACCAGCGACAATGCCGACTGGCTGACAATAATTGTGATTAATAGCAAGGGGCGACATCAGCGAATATCTTTTTGGAGGCCATTCCGATTCGATTTGGTAAGTGGCGTTATTGTGGCTCAAATGCAGGCATTAATGACAGTCACACACACGTTAAGTATACGCCCCGTAAACACATTGTCACAATATAATAATGTTGATGAATATATATAGGGAAAAGAGAACAGCAAAGAAGGGGAGACAGATCCCTTTTCTTATTGGAATTTATTGGTTTATCCTCCACCCGACCGCAGATATGTTTTCCATCCATTTGCATTCGCATTCGAGTGGTCTATAAGGACCATTGTAGTACATTCAACTTTTGGCTCTTCAGTTTCGGGATAAAATGCTGCATAAATAACACTTAAGTAGTGCTATGCCAGGCAAGGCAGCAGACAGAAAAAAAAGATATTTAATCTACCATTTGTGTTGTTGTGTGCCTCATGTGCTTTTGCGATTGTTTTGTCGGCTCTT